GACTCTAACACTGCTTATTAAAGTTTTTTATAAATATTGAATGACTCTTGGGAACATGAACCCCAAAATAATATGGAAATTATATGCTCAGTGGATTATTTCACATATTTTATCAAAAAAAATAAGAAGCCAGTCCTATTTGACCCAGTGTGTGGTGGTCTTGTTGGCTACAGGTAAATGCCACTACGAATATCTGGAAAGTCTAAAGCAGAAAACACTCTAAACAAAGCAACTGAAATTACTTCCTAACTTAAAAATAGTTTTCTATGTTGTATAGCAGAAGTTTTGCTAAGTCAGTTTTCTTGTGTTCTTTTAAATCTTTATTGTTGAGATTATTATAGATGCCCCTCTTTTCCCCCTGATCCCCATAGCTCCCCTCCACCCAGTACCCACCCCACCCCAGGCATTTGCTACCCCATTGTCTGTGTCCATAGGTAATGCATACATGCATATAAGATCTTTGTCTAAACTCTTCCCACCCCCCAATGGCCCCTTGCCTCTGAGAATCCTCAGTCTGTTCCATTTCCATGCCCCTGATTCTATTCCATTCATCAGCTTAGTCTGTTCATCAGATTTTTTATTCATTTATTTTTAGATTCAATTGTTGATAGATATGTATTTGTTGCCAATTTGTTGTTCATATTTTTTTAAAATATATTTTATTGATTTTTTACAGAGAGGAAGGGAGAGGGATAGAGAGTTAGAAACATCGATGAGAGAAACATTGATCAGCTGCCTCCTGCACACCTCCTGCTGGGGATGTGCCCACAACCAAGGTACATGCCCTTGACCGGAATTGAACCTGGGACCTTTCAGTCTGCAGGCCAACGCTCTATCCACTGAGCCAAACCGGTTAGGGCTGTTGTTCATATTTTTTTATTTTTATCTTTTTCTTCTTCTTCCTCTTCTTAAAGAATACCCTTTAGCATTCCATATAATACTGGTTCGGTGGTGATGAACTCCTTTAGCTTTTTCTTGTTTTAAAGCTCTTTATCTGACCTTCAATTCTACATTATAGTTTTTCTGGGTACAATAATCTTGGTTGTAGGTTCTTGCTATTCATCACTTTGAATATTTCTTGCCACTCCCTTCTGGCCTGCATCATTTCTGTTGAGAAATCAGCTGACAGTCGTATAGGCACTCCCTTGTAGGTAACTAGCTGTTTTTCTCTTGCTGCTTTTAAGATAGATGAGGCTCAGCTGTGAAGCAAGGCAGGCTCGTGCTGGTGTGGGTCTTGAGCCTTTTATTGATAGGTTTGGGACTCCCTGACCCAGCTGCAACTTGTTTGACAGGTTTTAGCCTGAGAATGGATAGGCCATTCATATGCAAAAGCAGCTGCACACAGCTTGGGTGGGGTTATAAATTGGGTGGGGTGGGGTCTCAGAATCTCCAGGGCTGAGCAAACAGAAATGGCTGCCAGTCAACCCTACAATGAGGTCCCAGATCAGGAACAATGACTGCTGCAAACACCTCCATCTGGAAGAAAGCCACCCCGAGTTCCTGCCCTGATGCCAGACAGGCTAATTTCTCCTAGTATGTGTCTGGGGCACCCAGAGCCTTGCCAGCACTGGAGCTTAGAAGAGGTGGGAGCTTGTAAATTCAGTTTGTGGTTCAGGCCTTTTAAGAGGAGCAGCTGGGTCTCCAGCAGCCTGTGTGTCACTAAACCCCAGTCCCCACTGGTTTTTACAGCCCATAGTTCTTACTGCTCATAGGGACTTCTTTTCCAAGCTCTGGGACCCTGGGCTGGGCATCTGGTGTGGGGCTGGGACCCCTTGCTCCTCTGGGCAGCCTCCACAGAGGCAATCTCCCTCCCAATTAAAAAGGCGATTAAAAAGCGGCACACATGGGTGCCTGATCAGCCTGCTCCTCACCTCCACACCTCCTACCAGTCTCTGTGCTTTCTTCTTTACTTCTCTAGTTGTAAGACTTCCATTCAGCCAGCTTTCAAGGTTTTGGATGATGGTTGTTCTATATTTTAGTTGTAATTTTGATGTGGTTGTGGGAGTCAGTGAGTACAGGCATTTGCCTACACTGCCATCTTGGTTCTTTAAGCCAGTTTTCATATCATGAGGTGATTTGAAATTAGAATGTGCTTGCATGCTTTGTTTTACTCAGGATTCCTACCATGGTGTCTGAAATGTTTTAAAATATTCTGTCCTAGAGATCAACCAAAGGACTTGTATGCATGCATATAAGCCTAACCAGTGGACACAGACAACAGGGGGATGAGGGCATGAGTGGGTGTTGGGGGCGGGGGTAATAGGGGGATAAGGACACATATGTAATACCTTAATAAAGAAATTTAAAAAATAAATAAATAAAAACTGGAAAAAATAATCTGTCCTTTTATATAGTTGGGTCAGATTTACAAATCAATTTCCTTAGCAAACAGGTTTATATAGTAACTATGAAGTAAAAATTCAGCCAATTCTCTTATTGATAGCTTTCCTTTCTTAATTTGTGAGGCCCACATATTTCAAATTTAACTTTATTTGTGGCAACTAGCAAAATGTTTGTTAAATCTAAAATGTTCACCTTTAAAAACTTTAATTTTGAAAAATCCATTTAAAAAATGGAACACATGATCATTAATCAAGAGATATGTATGGATAGACTGTGAAAACTATATCTCTCTTGGACACTTCCATTCCCCTCCCAAGAAAACATCACTGTTTATCCTCACTTTTTACATTTTAAATAATCCTCAATATAATGGAAGCTCTCAGCTTCTATCTTATTGAATATAATTCATTATTAAAGCAGATTATGAGCAATAAAAGAGGTTAATAGTAGTGACACTACATATGACATTTTTCAATGACAAAAAAATAAGTAAAATAATACAGTTGAGAAAAAATACCACATAAACTCATTATTTTTGAGTGCCTGTGCACCCAATGATCTATAATTATTCTATTTCCTTTATAACATTTACTTTTAATTGTTCCTATTTTAAAACAGTTCTCTGCTGAGTCCCATAAAATTTCAGTTTTCATTTTTGGATGTCTCTGTAGTTTTTAAACAATCACTACTATGCCTAGTTCTTAAAATGAAGATGAAGCGATATATTTTTCTCTCTTTTTGCCTAACATACAAGTAAGTAACATATTTGTTTAATAAAAGTTAATTTGAAAATGTACACTTTTATTTTTCTGCATAACATTTACTGTATAATTTTCATTTTTTGAAAATTAACTGTGAATGTAAGTTACATAAAAACAGGAGTTTATTTTTTTTCACTCCTTTATCACCAATGCCTTGAGCACTGCCTAGTGCATAGAAGTGTTCTATACATGGCGTGAAGGAATTGAATGAATGAATGAACAAATAAAAAATTGGTTTATGTATTAAACAATTCAAGGGAATCTTCAAAGCACAACTTTAATTTGTATTCCATTATTTTTTAGATGCTAATAAAAATTAGGCTCAGAGAAAATTATATGTAGATTATAATTAATTTATATTTTCAGTTAGTTGTATAATATACAAGGCAACTATGATGCCTATGGTAATAGATGCCTTGTGAGGTTCTGAAGACAGATATAATATTCTTAAATTATTTAATGTGTGTGCTTGTGTGTATATAACCACCAGCATCCTGAAATGCAGTTTTTCTCTTCATGAGATTTAAATCATCACATAATGATCAAAGCACGTAATTTAATAGGGTCATTGCCTTCCAAGTTACCCAGACCCCAAGCCTCAGAGTTTGCTTTCATATCTTTTTTGTGTCTTCTTAATACCACGTTTGGTTGATTCTCTTGCCACTGATAAAATTACTTGTGCATTCATTTGGGAACTAGCATTGTTTTCTCTAAAGGCTCCATAAAATTAATTTTATCTCTCCAACCATATTTTTAGCTTTATTATAAGTTATTTGCCTATGTATTAGCTAGTTGTGTACATAACTGTTTTTCTACCCAAAATTGGTGTGTGTGTGTGTGTGTGTGTGTGTGTGATTATATAGCTTCCTGAGTAAAGTCATTATGCATCCTCTTACGTAAAACAGGTATTTACCCAGTGTCCACTACATTTGTCATTTATCATACCATTTAGTTTTGCAAACAGCATAAAATATTTCTGGAAACTTCTCGGGGAAACTTTGATAACCTATTTGTTACGAAGGGTGGAAGGTTCTGAAAATTATTTTAATTTTTAAAATATCCTGCAATATATCTTACCATTTTATTTAAAATCTTGGAATTATGTCCCTGTTTTTATTTTCTATGTGGATGCAGTCATGGCAGTAATGACAGATCTGACGGAATTCAGACTAGAGTTTCATGGATTCTGCAGAAGGAATGACTTAGTGGGATGTTCCTAAGAAAGCAAAGGCTTTTAATTCTGTCTTCATGGGGTTTTTTGTTTTATTATTCCAAAGGAAAATTTTTCTAAAATTTCAATTTTTTAAATAATAAGAATCCTAATGTCAGAGTAGATTCACTCTTCAAAAATGAAAGTAGTATGTCTTGTGTATCATTCTTTAACATGTATAATCCCAATTAAAGACAATGTATATATTCTTTGAAAATGAAGACAAATTTCTTCTTCTTCACTTTTAATTTAGCTTGAGGTGAAGTTCTGGTTAATATTCTACAGGTGGTTGTTGATCCCCAGGTTTATAGGCCTTTTCACTGACCATTGTGTGCTCTTTAGGAAGACAGTTTAGGACCAAGCTGCCTATTGAGTAGAATGGCCTTTGGTTCCTTAAACGATAGAATTTGTGTGGCTAAGAGAAAAAGTTGTGATGTTTAACCTTTGCATACATTTAAATTTTTAATACAAATTTCTGCAGTTACTTGTGTTTTATAAATCAAATGATTATCCTCATACATAGTGTCATTTAAAGTGCTAAAGGTATTCTTTTTGAAAATCTGCTTAATTATAATATAAAAATTGTGGGTAGGTTTTACTGAATTAACACTTGACTATTCCCTCCACAGATATTTTTTTGAAATTATTCCTTTTGCCTGATAACATCATGTGAAATTTATTTTTAGGGGGATACTGCCTACTTAAAAGATCGCTGGTGTGTTTTTGATGGAGTTATGGTCGTTTTCCTTTGGGTTTCACTGGTGTTGCAGGTAATTAAAAACTTTTAAATTACAAGTGAGTAGTTTCCAAAATTTGCATTGAAAATCTAACTAGATATATAAAAGCATATATATAAAATGGCACTGTATACTTTTCTACAACATTATATTATTTTTAAAAATTTATAAATAAAAAGACTAACATTTTAATCATTGTCAATCACATTTGTGAATTAATTCTCAATAAGAAATGAAAATCAATAGTATAAGAAATTGCTTTTTATTGAACAGGTATACAAATATATTCATGAAAAGAAAGGAAAGAACATGGGGTGAGATTTCAGTATTTGTGGAATAAAAAGAAATGGGGTACAAAAAAAGAAATGGGGTACATATATTTAAAAGTTCTAAAGGAGGAATTTTGTTGGAAAATGGTAGAACTCATTCCCATGCATTCAATCAGTCTTAATTTTGCATTTAACTAAAGTAACTATAATCTTCATGAAAATATTCAGAAAAAATAAATTCACAGTTCATTCTGCAGACTTATCCTAGTGCTTATTGATAAGCCGTCTTTGTTTTTACAAAGCTCACCTCTCTAACAGCCTAATTTATCCTGCATAGTAATGTGTTCTTTTCCATTTAATAACTATTGTATGATTGACAAACATTTTCCAATTATTACTTCACCTCTTAGTAAATGGTACATTTTTTCACATTTTCTAATAATACTTTTAATCCTGTCTCCATTATTTCATTTTCTAAATATTCAAAAAGTTTCACCAAAGAACATGCTTAGTTAGGAAGACTTAGCACACTTTTTACTATATTCTAAGTTGGCACTTGTTTTTGTAATAAAACCTGTGCTTTGATGAAGTATACAAGATTAAGAAAATGAAGAAGATTGATGGCACTTTCATTAGCTTATGATTTGTTTCTCTTAAGAGAGCAGTAGCTTCTAGAGGTACTCAAAAGAAAATTGATTTCAGTAGAAAAAAATGTAGGGCAAAGTTTAGGGAACAGGATGCACCTCCTGATGCTGTTTGTATATGTCACCACTACAAACCATGCTAAGAGAAAGTCTAAACTTGTTTATTCACCTTTAAATTTACAGGTATTTGAAATTGCTGATATAGTTGATCAGATGTCACCTTGGGGCATGTTGCGGATCCCAAGGCCACTAATTATGATCCGAGCATTCCGAATTTATTTCCGATTTGAACTACCGAGGACCAGAATTACAAATATTTTAAAGTAAGCACTACTTTCACATAAGTTAAGGGGAGGAAGTTTATGACTTTTTAAAAATAAGCTTTACCTATTTTATGTATTTTTTTCCCGTAGGCGATCAGGAGAACAAATATGGAGTGTTTCAATTTTCTTACTTTTCTTTCTGCTTCTTTATGGAATTTTAGGAGTTCAAATGTTTGGAACATTTACCTATCACTGTGTGGTAAATGACACAAGACCAGGGTAAGTTTATCTCCCAACTGCATTTTAATCTAGGTGATTAACAAGGATATTTTTGCAATTCTCATGAGAAAAACCTCGGTATCTAAAATTTTTAGAAGTTTTTATGTGTTCTCTCTTCTATATCCTCTGCTTCCTTGAAATTGTTTTGTCCAATTCTTAACACATGTATTCAAGACAAGCCAAACTGAAAAATCTAACCCCTTGGGAGAGTAGATTAAGCAAATTTATTTTTTAAAATATATTTTTATTGTTTTCAGAGAGGAAGGGAGAGGGAGAGAGAGAAAAACATCAATGATGAGAGAATCATTGATCAGCTGCCTCCTGCACACCCCGTACTGGGGATCAGCCCTGCAACCTGGGCATGTGCCTGGACTGGGAATGGAATCATGACTTCCTGGTTCATAGGTCAACGTTTAACCATGAGCCACATGGCCCAGCTGGATTAAGCAAATTTAAGGAATACATTTAGAAATTTTCCCCAGTGTGGCAGAATTCCATCAGAGTAAAATAAGAAGGGGATGAAAAATGGTATAACTACTTCAAAAAACAATTGGCCAGTTTCTTAAACGTACGCCTGCTATATAGCCCATTCATTCCATTCTAAACAAATTGTAGTTATATCCACATAATGAACACTATTTAGCAATAGGTAGTATGAGATATTGTTATAAACAACACCTTGGATGAATCTCAAAATAATTATGCTGAGTGAATGAAGCCAGATGAAAAAGATCGCATATTCTGTGGTTTCATTTATATAAATTTTTAGAAAATGCAAGCTTATCTGCAATGATAGGAAGGACATCAGTGGTTGCCTGGGAGATAAGGGTTGGGATAGAAAAAGGAATTACCAAGGGGCACAAGTAAACCTTTGGGATTGATCGGTATGTTTATTATCCTGGTGATGTTTCTATACATATGTGTGGTAGATTTCACAAACTGTACATTTTTAATACTAGATGGGACAAAAGTAGGTTTATAATTGTATATAAAATAACACAATAATTAATAGTAGTAATACAAGAATAAACTGTTTTGTGTGCTCACAGCTGAAAGCCACTTTTACCCCATCCTATATGTACAGTTTATTTTCAGTATACCTTACTAAAACTGTTTGGAATTGTTTTAGTGTGAAGCAGAAATCGAATTTTCTTCATATGGTCAAGTCAGTTGTCTTAGCACTATTTATTGTGTGTTATTACTTGCTGAATTTGATACTACCTTTGTAATTTATGAATTCCCTGTCTATAGTTGGGTCTGTAGCTCTGGCTGCTATTTTGCTGGATTGATCTATCTGACTATCTCTTCATCAATATCACTCTCTGAAACTCATTGAAATTACAACCTGGCTTTATGCATAGGGTCACAATTCCGGTTCCCAGTCTTACAGGCTCAGGCCCCTGTCTTCTGCCTCATGTGCCATTAAAATCCAAGCTCCTGGATACTGGATACTTAGTTCTCATTCATAACACTTTTTTTTTGTCAACTCATATACTTCCCTAGTTATTAATTCCCTCTTATGTTTTGACATTTTGGAATGTATTTTTCTTTCTTGTGAGCCTAGAAATTTTAAAATGTTATCATTTATCCAGCAGTTCTTGTTTGTAGTGGAGGGAGTGGAATTTAATGTCGCCCATCTTGCCAGAACCAGCATGCTGGCACCCATAGCAATTTTTTTTCTATTTTTTTCATGACACTGTGAGGTCCTTGAGGACACATACGGCAAAGAGTGGAGAATATTCATTTTCTTATTGCCAGTACCTGGTATCCTAGCACAGAATAACGACCTGGTAGCTATTTACTGAAGGCATGGTTGATGATAGATTACATTTAGACAAATAATAGTATGGCACATTGATAAAGAAGAGGGAATGAAAAAAAAAAACAGAGAAAGAAAAGCAAGTTGCTAAAGGGACAAAGGAGACATAGTTAAAATATTGAAAAGCAATGTTAAAATTAGAGAAAAGCAATAGATGGTACAAACACAGGGTAGGAAAGTTGAAGGAAGTGGTAAAGGAGTTGACTGCGCAAGCGACAGAAGAGACAAATGTGTGAATAATACCTGTAGGCAGGTGTTTTTTAAGTGTATGTGGGCTGTAGAATATGTCTGGATTATTCCATGAATGAATGTGAAGATGGAAAAGATGTTGTGTGGGTTGGAGGCAATAGATATAAAGGTGAAGAACTGAGAAAGCTTCTGGCTAAGAAAGCAATTGTGTTATAGCAGCAATGAGTACAGGAGGCTGATTTAAACTTACCATTTCATTGAAAACCAAGTCAGAATCTGAGAATTTGAATACTTGTTAACACAACGAAAAGATCAGGTATCATGCTGGTAAGCTACACTTTGTCACATAAAATATAAAACCAATTGGGAAGACACACATGAGTACCTCTGAACTCACAGCCCTTGAATGACTTGAGTTAAGTACTCTTCACACAGCTCCTTACAATACTCAGTATGAAGAAATAAATGTCTTTGAAAAAATATTAAAAGACCTTTTGTATTCTGAATATTAGCTCCAGTTCATTACTTTATCCGAAAAGTTGAGTTCACTTTGAAAAATTACATAAATGTTGGCAGAATTTTCAGTTACTCGAGACATAACAGTTATGAGGGAATGTCTGCATTTTCTCTCTTTTATTTGTAAAATCTGCCCAATAGCATTATGTAGACACACATATATTCTGCCTTCTTTGTATGTGATTCTTAGTTTATTAGTTGAGGAAAAAAGGAATAACTAGCCACATGGTAGTAGTGTTAATCTAGTATAAGAAATTGCTTTTTATTGAACAGGTATACAAATATATTCATGAAAAGAAAGGAAAGAACATGGGGTGAGATTTCAGTATTTGTGGAATAAAAAGAAATGGGGTACAAAAAAAGAAATGGGGTACATATATTTAAAAGTTCTAAAGGAGGAATTTTGTTGGAAAATGGTAGAACTCATTCCCATGCATTCAATCAGTCTTAATTTTGCATTTAACTAAAGTAACTATAATCTTCATGAAAATATTAGTTGAGGAAAAAAGGAATAACTAGCCACATGGTAGTAGTGTTGTTCATTAAAAATTTTTCATACTTGTGATGGTTTATTTCAAGGACCAGTCATTTATACCATTTTTCTTTTAATTTTCAGTTTAGTAGTAGCTGAGTTTTGAAGTTCCACTCATAAGTAGAAAAACTGTTGATACCATTTTACTATTATTTCTAGCCTAGACATCAATTTACCTATTTTTAAAACACTCAAAAAATGTCAAAAATAAAAATGAAATGCATAAAATTCCAATTAAAAATTTCCCAACTTTTTTCTTTCTTTTTCTTTTATTCTAAGAATTTCTTAGATGTTGCAAAGAGCAATGTCTCTGAGCTAGATGTTAAGCTACAGTATGATGGTTCTGTGTCCAGCGATCAGTTTTGCCTGTGGTGTCATGACCTCATTTCTCTTAATTGTTATCCTTTAACAATTGTTCCAATTGCTGCTTAATTGATTTGCATGCACTATACCCAAATATTGGGAGAATTTTCAGGCATAGAGGTGTCTGTTCAGAAATCTATATATCCTGGATTCCACAGCTCACCTCTGGAATTGATTATGTTTAATCTGTGAGGCAAACAAGATTAATAAAGAAACAACACAATACACATGCTTGTGCTTTTAAATGGAGCTGACATCTTTTGAAGCAGACAGAGGGGAATCATAGCTATGTCCTCATAAGCATTATTAGTAAAGCTTTAGAGTCTTCTCTAATGATGAATGGTGACCCATAGAAATTATGGAACAAGTAAAGCAGTTCATAAGCTAAAGACAGCTGCAAAGAGCAATATCTTGTGGCAGAAACAGGTGTGCAAAACACCGAATGTGATGGCAGAAGTCTCCCCTAAAGAGGAAAGTGCAAAAATGAGCTGGTAGTGAAATAGAAAAGATGAAGTCTTACTTCACCTTATTATTATTCCTACTCATGGCTGAATATCTAATAATAAAATCTTATTCCCAAGAGTGAGGTAATGAGAAAAACTTTAAGGTATGTAAACCTTTACTATGCAAAAGTGTATATATAGTATAACTCAATACTTTTAGCATAAGATAGTCTATATAAAATTTTACTATACAAAGAACAGAATTCAACCAGAAGTTCAGATAAATATTTGTGATGGCTGGACAATTAGCTTTAAGTCCCAGAGGTATGGAACCATATGTCACAGATGCACTGAACAATACTGATGCGTCCCTATTGTGTCAGGTTAATTACTAATAGTTTCCTTTTTCATCTCAGGAGAGTCTCAGTATAGACAAAACACTCTATGATCACCCTGCCCAGGGGCAGCTTATAGGGCTTGTTATTATTTTATAAAATCACTAAGACTTGGACTAGAGAAAATATAATGTTGTTTTTGGGGAGTTTTCTATTTCTGGTCCAAATAAAACTTAAGTTTACTCTTTAGGGATAACTTGAAAATAAATAAATTATTGTCTTATAAATTATGTTTACAAAATAATGAGGGTTTTTTTAATGGAAAGGTCAGAAGAATTAAAAATAGAAACAGTGGAACATTGAATACTAAATTTTAATTAATGAACATTATCAAGAAAGAATTTTGTAGGGTGCATAAAATCGTAAGTGCCTCAAATTCATGCAAAGGTCTATGAAATCTTGATTTATATTTAAACTTCCTTTGAAAGGTGAAGAGCGAAATTGCTACATTTAACTTCCAGGATTCATGCAGAGATATCTGCCAAGTGGGAAACAGAAGAACAAGTTTTGATAAATGCATATTGGAAACATTTTCTTTAAAATATTTAAGAAGTGAAAAATACTCTGATGGTGCATGTAGATTTCTAATTAGTAGAAACACTTGTAGAGAATCTATTATATCTTAGCTTATTTTGCTTATATAAATGATTTTTGGAACAGTCTGAAAGGAATTATTCCCTCCATTTTTCATATGAGGACACAGTCCCAAATTGGTTAAATAATATGTGTCCATGTGATAAGTG